ATTACAGAGAAAAATGAGCCCACAGTGAGTAAAATGTGACAGGAGCTGAAAACACAGAAACTTCTTGGAGTTCAGAGGGTTAAGTCTGTTCACACAGAGGCTCTGGCTGAGCTGTTGTTTTAACCACTGAGGTGAAACAAATTTATGGAAGCCAGAGCTGACACATGAAATGAAATATAAAGAGACCCGACATGGAGGAAGCAGCTGGAGAACAGATCATCTGAAGTTCTGCTTCAACGGCGAATGAAATAAAACCAGATTCAATAAACCGACTCGGAGCTGGATTCACTTTAAATAAGATCCTTCCTGCTGCTGCTGCTGATGACAGATTTCAGAAAGAGACGACACAAGAAACGCCTCTTTGTTGTTGTTTGCCTCCGTGGTGTCCCGGTTACTGTCGCCACGGTGACGGAGACGCCGACCCACCTGTGTCCTCGCAGTTTTCTCCTCCGTGTCCCGGACAGCAGCGCCACAGCAGAGAGGTGACGATCTTGGGTTTCTGCTTGTAGAGCGGCCTGGTGGACAGCTTGTACCTAAACACACAAACAGCTCTTCACATCCAGGAGTCAACGGGAGAAATTACTGTGAGCTGATTCTAAAACGTGAACATTTGGTTCCTCAACGGTGAAATTTTAGGTTTTCTTCTGCTGGTCGGATGGATAAAATGAATTTAAACATGTTCTCAGGTCATAGTGACGTTTATATCTCACTGTTTTCTGAAATTCAATCCACCGATGATTAAATAAAATAACTGTCAGCCATAATGATTATAGAGAAATAATCAGAAGCCTTTAATTACTTCTGATTGGTATTTTGAAATCATTTATGTAAACGGCCTGTCAGTTATTTTATTTATTTTTCAGAGTATGAACTGTTGGTCCAATTGATTTTTAAATCTTATTTATTTTGTTTTATTCTCTTTTACCCTTTGTTTACTCATTTTCACATTTCTTTTATTTATTTACTATTCCTACGATTATAATTATTGTTAGCCTTGTGTTTCTGGGTTCCCCCTTTATTGTCTTTTATTAAATTTGTTGTTTTCCTTACTTGGTTGTGACCTTTTTGGTTCTTTAATTATTGATTCATTTGAAAATCTTTTACCATGTTTCTCTACTTTCCTCCTCCTGGTTGGACTGACCCGCTCTCGGTCTTCCAGAGTATTCGTCTTTTCTTTTCTGTCTTGTCTGTGAAGCCCTCTGTAAACTTTGTTTTGCTGGTACCACATAAATAAAGCAATTATTAGAACTACTTATTTTCTCTTATTTCGCTGTCAGCATTTAAATTTGGCTTGAGGTTGTTTTAGAGATGTGCCAGCAGAGATGCTCTTTGTGTGATTTTCTAACATTAATGTGTGTTTATATGAGTTGTTGCTACAACAGTGGAGTTTCTGACACCCAGTTATATCACATTGTGTTCAAATGTTGTTCAAAGCGGTTGCTGGCTGCTGCACACAACATGCTGTCGTGATTACCTGAATGTCAGGCACAAAGAGGGCCGGTAAAAACTTTATGGACGTGGTGACGGTTTGATGGCCAGTAAACCAGTGCAGCTACGTTTTTGTTTTTTTTGTTTTTGACGGTGACAGACTGATGACTGCAGCGGCGTCGTTCGGTCTCAGCATCTGAAAATATGGTCCTGAAAGCTCTCTAAGTAGCCCCAGGTTTAAATTTCTTTTTTCCACAAACATAAGGCCTGTATGAGTCATTCCGATCACGCCTTAAAGCTGGCTGGCGTCCACCCACCAGGGGGCGCCACAGGGAGCAGTTAAACCTTTCTGTATACACAGACTTAGCATCTTTAATAGTGACTGAATTAAACTAGTGTCATTTGCAAACATTTTAGGAGAAACTGTGCTGGAAACATTCAGAAAACATTTACATAAAGGAAGAATAATAGTGGCACGAGAAGGGAACCCTGAGGTACACCACACTTCAATGTGTTGTATTAAAACTATGCTACAATTATAGATGCTACTCCTTTAGCTCTGATATTAAGGGACTCATTTCACATGCAAATAAACTTTAGACACCAGTGTCCACACGCTGCTGAAAGAGCTGCATTTGTATAATACAGACCTAAGTTTGGATAAATGAGACACTCGTTTTATATGTAAATGTATTAGTAATGGTAGCATCCACACACCAGGTGGTTCTACAGAGAGCAGATAAACCAGAGTTTATCAAACTAAACTCATTTACAAACATTTTAGGAGAAACAGTGCTGGAAACATTTCAAAAACATTTTATATCATAAAGAATAATACTGGCCCTAGAATGGAACCCTGAGGTACACCCTACTGTAATGTGCTTTATTAAAACTATGCCGTTACTTTGGATGCTAATGCTGTTAAGTTCAACTTGTTTCACATGTAAACATACTGTGGATGCTAACAGAGAGCTGCAGAGAGCAGTTGCTTGCTCTCCCAATAGTGTTATTGAGTCATAAGAATTAGCTAGTTTTTACATATTTGCAGTTTTTAAGCTGCTGGTATTTCTAAAATCTGCATTTGTTTGATACAGATCACAGTTTGGGTTAATGAGACGCTTGTTTCACACGTAAACTGTAGATGCTGGTGTCGACACAACGGTGGTTAAACTATTATTCTATACGCTGATAAACTGGAGCTAGCATTTTTAATCAGTGACTTACACTAGCTGTAAAAACTAAAGGAGAAATGTGCTAAAAACAGTAAAATATTCTAAGAACAATAGTGGCCCGAGAACAGAACCCTGAGGTGCACCCCACCATAATGTGCTTTATTAACTGTTATTTTAGATGCTGATTATTTTACCAAAAGCTAGATTATGAAAAACACATTTAGCTCTCATTTATTGAACATTTCCAACAACATTAACACTGTCTGAGTGAACAAACACACAAAGTTTCACTGCTGTTACTCACATGACCAGCTGGCAGTTGGGTGAGCCACTCGGACACGGACTCTGAGACCTGATGGTGTATTTTTCTGTTCCACACGCCACCACCGTCGTCACCACACGCTCCTTCACCAACGGACACCAGTTCCTGCACAACAAACACACGCAGCATCTTTAACTGCTGCTCAGTTCGCAGTTTATTTTTCTGTCCTTCCTGTTTGCGGTCAGAAGGTCAAACGTGGTGCCCTCGTCTCGCTGACCACCAGCAGCTAAACCCAACGGATAGTTTGACACTTGGGTCACGTTCTTGCCAAGAGACGATTGATAACATCCTCGTATCTGCAGAAAAAGCCCCTCACAAGAGCACATGTTGTTGCCACGCTTCAGTTTTTGCACAGATTAAGCAAAAAATAGCAAATATCTGGTTTCAGTTTCTCAGAATTCAGGGTTTGATGTTTTTCTTTGTCTTACACAACAGTAAACTGAACATCTCACAACAAACAGAGAAAATGACAGAAAGAGGCCCAAAACAACCCCAGACAGGGACTCTGGGTTCTGCTCGACTGGTTGAACAGAACAGGACGTTTGAATGTGTCGCGGTCGACTGTGAGAAACTGTAAACTGGGACTTTTCTCTGTTTTCTGATGTTTCACACACAATGGATTCAGTCATTTTAAGTGTGATGTATTCAAACACACACTGTGAGGTTTCAGGAGCAGCTGTGCTGAATACAGCCGACCGTAAACACTGAGGCCGCATGAGGTGTGTTTGGTGTTTGTACAGGGTCACCCTGCTGGACCGCTCACTCACCACACACTGTGTGAGTGTGTTGGAGTGTGTGTGAGTGTGTTGGAGTGTGTTGTGGTGCAGAAACACACTCGTGGACTCAGAGAGGTTTCTCTTTACAGACTGACAGGATTCAACCTACTTTTAATATTTTACATTTTTAGTTTTTATGATGTGGTTTATCGCTTTTTTGTTTTTATTTGAATTGAATTGAATTGAATTAAATGTTCACTACCTGACTGACAGACTCTGAGTTAACAACATTCTGCTCTCAGTTAGAAAACCAGGAACGCTGCAATTAGCTAACGATAAATGAACTAACCCAAAGTAACCCTCAGCTCTGAGCTACCGAACACTGAGGAAACCTTCCTTGAATTAACTAATCACTGAGTGAACTAACACTGAGTTAATTAGCCTTCAGACTGAGAGCTAACTAGCTCAGAATGCTGTAAACATCTTGCAGGTTAGCAGGTTGTTATCTGTCGTAATCTGCTGAACTCTGAAGCTTCTCCTCCTTCTTCTTCTTCCTGTCCGGCAGCTCACAGAGTTTTCATGCTCAGGTGAAACAGCATCTTCAGGTTCATCTGTCCTGTCAGACTGAACTCTGGGCGTCAAACCATTCATCCCTCCACTGCGTTAATACCTTCAGGTCAGGAGCTCCACTGAGTAAAGAGAAACTCCGTCTGCTGTCGTGTTGTTGGAGATGAGACATGTGCTGCTGGAACACAATGAAACCAAACGACAGGATTGTGTTTTTGTTGGATCACAGAGAAGATGTTCGACTCATTCCGGGAAACTTCTGTGATAAACGGTTGTCACTTCCTACAGCTGGGGGGGGAAAATAAGCCTACATTTCCCAGAATGCATTTAAAAAGTCCTACTTGAAGCCAAACTTCTATTTAAACTTAAAAATCAACGATACACAAAAGTTATTTTTGTTTTCTAGTATTTTTGTTCCTCTTTGTTTTTTTTCTTTGGTTATTTAGCATTAGCATAGCATGTTTTGTGCTCATCTTGTATCCTTTTGCGCTTGTTTTGCATCCCTCTGTGCTCATTTTGCATCACTCGGACTCATTTTGCATCCTTTAGCGATTGTTGTGTTTTTGTGTCTCTTTGCAGTCATTTTGCATCCTTCTGTAGTCAATTCGTTGGTTTTGAGGGTTTTTTGGAGCCTCTTTTTGTCTGCGTCTGATCATTTTGCGTCCCTTTGTGGGGCTTTTGCAACTTTGAAGTCATTTTGTGTCCCTTTGCAGTTGTTTTGCATCCCTTTGTGGTATTTCAAACTGCTGTTTGTGTGGTTGTTTTGCATCGGTGGTCATTTTTGTGTTTGACTGTGTTTATTTTTCATCTTTCTTTTTGTTTGACATTTGGCATCCCTCATCAGCTGGTGTCTCTGAAGTCATTCTGTGTCTTTTTACGGTCAGTTTACATCTTTAAAAATGTCAAAAGTACATTTTGTGTCCCTTTGCAGTTGTTTTTCATCTCTCTGAGGTTATTTAATGTTATTGTCTTTTTGTCTTTATGGATTTGTTGTTTGTTTTGTCAGTGTGATCATTTTGCATCCCCTTGAGTTAATTTGTGTTTTCTTATGGTGCATGAAGTCTTTTGTGGCGTCTCTCAGTGGTTGTCCACCAACTTTCCGATAATAAATCCACACCAGGACTCGGTGCTGGTACCCGACACGCCGGTTCTCTCATCCATCCACGACACCAACCAGCCAGCTGAGCATTAATCTTCCCTCCGTTCATCCAAATGAAGCAGCTCCAAGCCAACAGCTGACATCCTGGGCTGCAAACAGGAATGAAGTAAAAAAAAGTAAAGTCTGCCTAAAACAACGTTCACGTTTAGAGCAGCAGACGAGCTGGATGGGGCTGGACGGAGCTGGACGGGGCTGGACGGAGCTGGACGGGGCTGGACGGAGCTGGACGGGGCTGGACGGAGCTGGACGGGGCTGGACGGAGCTGGACGGAGCTGGACGGAGCTGGACGGGGCTGGACGGAGCTGGAC